CCCCAAAACCCCAAAACCCCAAAACCCCAAAACCCCAAAACCCCAAAACCCCTAGGAGGATTATATTAATTGAAGAAAATATTTAATTCTTGATCCATAATGTGAACTGAATTGTACTGATATGTTGGGTACATCTATGTGTTGCGATTAATATTTATGGCGATATTACAATCCTGTTTCTCATACTTTACTACTGAAGAGTCTGAGATGTGGGCTGATGCAGCCATTACTATGTATCTTAACTTTCATTATCTATTATCCTGAGTCTTTATGAAGGACCAGGGTGATCGTAACTCCGTTGCTGGCCTGACCTTCGTGACTATTCTAATTGTGGACTTGATTTCTGTGATTAATACTTTTGGAAATCGAGAAGCAATTGACTCACAGCAGTTGGAATATTGGATTTATTTCATGATAGTGGCTAATTTATCAGCTGTATATCCTTTGTACCTGCTTGTCTATAAGCAAGAGGATGAGGTTGACTTCGACTTAGCCAGAGCTAACGACCAGTCTATTGTTAGAAATAATGGGTTCATGCAGGATAATAGACCAATCGATCGTGAATACATAGATAAGATAAATTATTTGCTTTACCAGCCATATTATGGACTGAGAAATAAGAATTGTACAATTTGAATTGTTGATTTTGAGCCAAACGACGCTGTGAGTGTTTTACCTATCTGTCATCACATTTTTCATGTGGTATCTAAACCGATGCTTTTGAAGTTCTAATACTTCTAATTCTTAATTTTCCATAAAGACTGAGTCAAAGAGTGGCTCGAGCACAATACTACATGTCCTGTTTGAAGAAGAGGTATCACTAGGAGCGATGTTGAGGTAGAACAGAAGGCCAACCAGGATGAAGTTCTGAAATTAGTGCCTAAAAATACTCTTACTCAGCATAATGCAGAGGCTTTTGGCTAATTCAATTATCTTTGTACATCTTGGGGTTTTGGGGTTTTGGGGTTTTGGGGTTTTGGGGTTTTGGGGTTTTGGGGTTTTGGGGTTTTGGGG